CTAGAGTGCTTCTGACATTGGCAGCTATATATTTTCCTCTCTATGACTTTGCATTATAAGAATATATTATATAATTTATACAGTGTTGTAGTCATTTGTATCATTGTCCACAATTAGTTTTCTATCAAAAAATGGTTTCATAATTTTGATCTACATTTGCCATTTGATTTGTTTGACTTCTCACATTTGTGTTTATATGATAAAATTTAAAAAAGGAATATTTATACCTATTTTTCTGTGTTCCTGGAGCACCAGGTTTATAACTCTGTGGTATAATTTATTTTGTGGCAATGATTTCGTTCAGTGTTTGTTTCCTTTGCTAACCTCTCTGTTCCTCCCACATAGGGATCAGATGCCATTTATCTTTGTATTTCTAGTGCCTAGCGTGGTTTCTGAAACAGAGTATTAGGAAACTTATTAAACGAATTATTTTTAACTCATTACCCACTATAGATATATGGCACTATACTGTGCAAGGTATTCTCTGCTTTGACAATGAAGGCAATAGATCAATCCACTACTTTTCAATACTTTTCTTTTTTCTTTCTTTTTCTTTTTTTATTTTTATTTTCATCATTTATTTAGAGACGGAGATCTCACTATGTTGCCCAGGTTGGTCTTAATCTCCTGGTGTCAAGCAGTCCTCCTGCCTCAGCCTCCCAAGTAGCTGGGATTACAGGTGCAAGCCACTGTGCCCAGTTCCTCTTTTTCTGTTGAAATTTTCATCAAAATTTACTAAAGCTAATCTGGAATTCATTCACTTTGAAATGGTTCATGGTGTTATAGAATTTTTTTGTGTCAATTTTATGGGATTATTTCATATAACAATCTTTGAAGCCTCTTAATATCATTAGAAATAATCCCATATGAGGATGCTGATTTAGTTGTACTTATAAACTTGTGAGTAATGAAACTAATGGTTATTTTCATATCATTTCACTTTTCAATATAATTCTTTAAATATTGCTTATGCTTCAAAATTATGGTAGAACCTATATTTTAATACATTAACCAGAAAAGCA